TATTAATGAGCAAATTATAGTAATCCACTGAGACGTCGTCCCCTATGACAATGTAGTGGACAACTCTATTATAACGCATAGTTTTATTAGCAGATTTATTTAGAGGCACGGGATAAAAGAGAAGATAATCACGAATGAAGAAAAAGGTAATTGGTCTACATAAATCATGATTGAGCGTTAAACTTCTTATTTCTACCCAATCAGCGTCACAGATACGCTTGCTTATCACAAAGCGAACAGTTAGCACGGGTAGATTATCAAATATAACGTACTATCTAAACGACCTTATTTATGATCGACGAATTTTTACCCTATAGTTAGGTTCGTAATAGTAAAAACTGTTATATAAAAACAATATGTTCACCCACTACGAACTCGTTGTGGGATTTTGAATTTATCCTAGTTTAATTGGTAAGGGCTTTAGCTGTTGCCATGACATTTAGCCTTTCTTGTGGCAAATGCCCAAAAGTATGCATAAGTGTAAAAAAATACAAAGTTTATCTCTCACACACAACTGCTACAGGATACCTATCTAAAATATCCCCTATCAAGCGACCATATCGTTGTAATGGTAAAAAGCGTTTCCTCTACTGCACAGCCCATACATACGGACCAATCAAGATCTAACTCGGGGGCCGTCAGATTAGCCGCAAGTCAAGGCTCTTGTTTGGAGCTAATCAGACCCGATCTATCAAGATGAGCTGCGCTTTTCAAGTAAGGTTGGACCGGTGACCTTTTTGGCTGTGAACTAAGTTCTTCGGAACTTTAAAACATCATGGTTGCATTCCGAGCGCGAAACTTGTGTATTACACTCTTAATATAGTTGAGATACATGACTTATACATCGTTATTTGGTCATACCATTCACTGGGTATTTATCAAGTTAATTAATAGAACTCTTCAATACATACCCAGCTTCAATTATGGAAAACACAGGGGGTGAAGATTAATCGAGAACATGCTTCTATAATGGAAAAAAATACGCTAAAAGGTCGACTATCTATAATACAGATGGTACGTACGCAAAGCAAAATCTATCAACTTCTTGAATTGAACTTCAGCCGCGGAACTCGTCTACGCTGCAAAGATGTGCTTCGATGAGCAATTACTAATGTGATAACAATAGCATTTAGTTAAATTTATTCAAACAGAATCCACCACATGCCTCGCTAGCACAACTCACGCGCCCTGGCCGAAGACCAAACGATATTATTCAAAGACGCATAAAAAAAAGGTATCGAACCGGTAAAGGTACACCGATGCTTTCGGCTTCTTACCTAACATCCGTTCTTACCTTAAGTGTTGATTATTAAAAGTAATAACTATTACACTATTATATTCAATTAGACTACTCGAACCAAAGAAATGTATACGTGTGAAATCACGATATGACTCACGAAAAAACCAGATATCTTAAGCGCCATCTGGTGTCTAGGCAAATCGTAGTTTTTTAGAATTTCGCTCAACTGTTGCTATAGAGAAAATAGATGAAAGCCCTTGATACGCCAGGAGCACATCGGTACCGTAGCGAGACGTTATCCATTATCTAATCACGGGCGATGTTTTCCTACCTCGCCCAAGTCTCCATCAAGCGGTAGCTTTCGAAAGATGAGATGCGAGGATTGCCTAAACAGTTGCCACAGAGTCTGAGGGAACTGCCTGCAGCGAACATGTCCAACGGAAACAATAAGAGCGCGCTGGCTTAGAAGGCAACGATAGCATTTGTCTGGTGGTTAGTCATCTGGTTTTGCATTCGATCCGGTCTAGGATCGCGGTCTGCGCGCAACGAAGGCCACCGAGTGAACAGCCGTCCATCAGTGTACAACCCAGAATTCTTTGGCCACTAACTAGAAAAGAGGCGCGACTATCCCTAAGTATCGTTGTTTTTGTTGGCCGGCTTCTCATAGGTATAGACCATATTCATTCTGTTTCGGATGGCAAAGAAGTAGTGCAAGTGGTTAAGTGACGATCATTGACAATTAGCTAACTTCGTAAATACTGACCATCTGAAATAGGGACAGAATCAGGGATTCGTGGAAGAGCTGTTCCTACACTTAATCAGTTCGGGTGGCCTTTTCAATATTGAAGGTGCTTTCTCATCAAGTACGTTCGCAATGCGGCTTCGCGAGAGACGCTTCCGGTGGGGTTTCGTTGATCCATAACCCAGAGAGTTACGGCTCGTTCCTGCTCCGACGTCGCTGCTAGCCGACGAAGACTGACGAGTCGCCCGGGGTGATGAGCCATTCCCCTCGGGCCGACGGATTGCTGATCTAAGACAACGGTCTAAAAGCTCAAAAGTTTTATACCTGCTGTTTTATCTCGCTAACAAAAGCTACGCGGAGCTTCACTATACAAGCGATAAATTTCGAAGAACAAAACAACTCAGATCATACTCGTGCCTTGTGAACATCCGTGTCAACCTAGGAAATGTTTCGGGGAATACTGTAGGATACTGATTTACTGACCTCTTGTTTTGTGTGCATGTTGCGAATAATCACGAACTCTACGTAGAGTGCTTGTGTGTGCTCTCCAGAAGACGTTTTTCGGATAGGTCAAGCAGACCCAGTTTCGGATTACGTAGTTATTGTAAGGGGTAGCAAGACGGCCATTCCGAATAGGAACATCCCGAAAGTAGACGAAACGGCTTCCCACGAAAACACGAACTTTCGGTGGTTTATATCGGCGAGTAGAATCCGAGCTAAAGACGTGGCTGCCCCTTGTAATAGCCCACGGGCTCGCGGCAAAATGTGTCCATTGCTTAACTTCATCGACTGGACGTACCTTACGAAGATGCAGCGGCATTATCACTTTATGCGCGACTATATTTGAATAATAGCGCACCGCTAGCAAGCAGCCAAAACAAAAAGTATGTCATTTCTTCGATGTAGGTTAACTACCACAGCCGTCATCGATTACCATATCTTTACACAAGTTTTTCTGAGAAACTGTGAGCCCGCCGCTTCGCTACGGGGCGCTGTATCCACGGATCCTACACGCCGAACCTGCATCAAGTCAGATGGGTGGGAGTAAAAAACAATGCAGAGTATCCTGACGATCTGCAGCTGTCATTCTAATTAAGTAACGCGACCTAGGTAGGTTAAAGGTTCTGTCACTGCGATACGCATAACCGACCGATTCAAGACTTTAAGCTGTTGTGGAATAAGGACGCTAAGTCGTTTCGGTGTGAGACCTGTCTGCAAGACAAGCTTTAAGCCACTCGATTTTTCAGGTATGACAATGTGAGATGATGAAAAGTGCCTTAGCGAAACTGTTAGGTTGAATGGTATGACGTGGTCTACGGGCCGCTAATTGACGTTAAAGAGCTGAGCAAGTTAACAAACAGCTGGATTCTTAAGACAGGGGCTAAAGTTTAGTATTATATGAAGCCAGCGGCACTGTCGATCTACTTTGTAGAACTAAATAGGCCGCGCTTGCTTAGATGTTGAACAACTGGCAAATCTTAACGAAGTTGGAGTGTGTACTGAAGGCAAGAAATATACACTCAAGAAATCCGCTTATCTGTCCAATATAAAATATTCAAAAAGCCCTTTTGAGCATTGAGATCATTAAAATGTATTTTCTTTCATATGACAAATGGCAGCGCTCAAATAGGGCTTGGCCAGAAATGAAGACTTCTACGCTACTTCACAAGAAAGCAAATAACTATGATGTCTGAATTGTCAGATAGATTAAGGTGAATTTTGTCAAAAAATTACACTACAAAAATGCATAACACCAAATAATTCAACAAAAACGAGTATGAGCAAACTACGCCCTTGACATGTCAATGCCGGAGCTGGATTACAACGTGGATTTTTTTGACATTTTTAATTTCTCACCTTTA